AACAATTAGATAAGAACAAGCAAAATGAGCTAATCTAATCTAGATAAGGCTGCTGTTGCCGAACTGGGTAGGATGAGCATCACTGAATCCTTGCTGCTGCTGGCGGTGGGCCCGGGGCCTGTTGCTGCCGGCGGCGATGGTACGTCTTCCCGAGGAAGGCATCCATAACACATTTAGTGCTATTTCACTAAAAGGGCAGACCAGTGCATGAAGGTCCTGCCAATGCGGGGTCTGGGGAGGGACAGATGTATGCAGCCTTACCCCTGCACATACAAAGAGGCTATTTCCAAGATTAAAACCCTGGTCACCCAGGTCACAATGGACCTACCCAACTGTTGCGATTAAACCTGTTCATGGGCCGGGTAGCCCCATGGTCCGGCCTGTTAAAAGTTGGGCTTGGACATGATTTTAGGCCTGTGGGCTTGGGATTGGGCCTAAAACATCAGGCCCGACTTTTTTCGGGCAGGGGTCGAGCTTTCTCAAAAAAACCCAGCCCGAACCTGATCCCGACTTGATAATATATATTATATAATAAAAAATATATATACAATATTTTTTCTTTGTTCATCTTCTCTTTTTCAAGTAATAGTAAGATCTTTTATTATTTTTGAGTTTTTTAGTGCTTTTATTATAAATAAAACACATTTTTATTCAATAAAAAAAGAAAACAAATTCTGTTTTTAAATTTTTGGTCGGGCTCGGGCTTCAGATTTTATGAGGGCTGGACTCAGGCTCGGACCTGAATGTATTCTGTTGATACATAGACAAAACCCAGGCACGAACCCAGCCTGGCCCGGCCCGTGAACAGGTATAGTTGTGATTTAATGCTATTTTACTCCGTAAATAAAAAGTAAACTGTTCCAATGCTTTGCATTGTCTCCCTTTTTGGTTTGCAATTTGCACTAATGAAATCTTTGTTACCTGTATAAATATAGTAACACAAAACAATATATCATAATTATTGAGATTCTGATTATGATGATGATAACTTTTTATTGGATGAGAAGAAAATGGGGACAGATATCACTCAGAGGGACTTCATTAGTTGATCCAAAGTTAAAACATATTCAAAGATCCTGAGCACAGACTCATTCTAACTGATTCATGTATTTCATCTATCAATTTTGATCTGTCTTCTATGTACTCTAAAACCAGCAACAGTTCAAAGAAGGTTGTAATCGTGGCTAATCTATCAAGTTAAAATTTAATAGTCTCTTGTTTTTTTTTTTTTCTCAGGGATTTCAAGGGGATGTCTTTTTCTTATTTTCTGGCTGAATGGGATGCATTATTCTTTGGATTCCTTTAACTTTCATGTAGTTGTTCCTTTTTCCCAGTAATCTTTTATGTCTGTGTGTGTAATTGTTCCTTTTCCTGGAGATTAGCTATGTGATAACTCACAATAAGTTCCATTTCAAGGAGTTTTTAGTTCTTAGAAGTTTCTATGAGGTGTAGATATAAGTAATGGAAAATGGTCTTTCTCCTTAAGATCTTAAAGTTCATTGTTGGCTAATGTAACCTTAAGTGAATATTCTATTGTAACTACTTATCTATTTCTTTTTTCTTTTCAATTTCTTACAGGGATATTCAGAAATCCACACAGAACTTTACAACTATATTGGGGCAAGGATCATTTGGCCCAGTCTATAAAGCTACACTACCTACAAATGATGTGTTAGCTGTAAAGGTGCTTGCTTCTAATTCTAGACAGGGAGAAAAAGAGTTCCAAACAGAAGTAAGTGCTAAGCTTATAATGTTTTTGCTAGATGTCTTATATTTTGATCTTTTTTTGTTATATAGTTTTGTTGGTAAGACTAATGACAGGCTGAGTGTAAAGCCAGAATAATGGAGAGATACTTCAGAATCAAAAAGCTCCAAGATAAGTTGGATTTAAAGCAAGGTTCATAGTATTGATACACCCTATATGCATGAAAATGTGTATCAGGTGTTTTGATACTATAAAACACTATTTTTTTTTTAACTTTTCTACTCTGATATTTTCACCGGGGGGGGGGGGTTGGTTTTAGGGGTATTTGACACTTAAAAAACTAAGTTTCTAGAAAATCCTTAAAACATGCATTTCAGTCAGCCAAAGATATGATACGATACACCCGATATGGGATGTATCATATTGATACTTTAAACCTTGATTTAAAGTACTTGTAATGCAATTTAAAAAATATATTAGTAATAATGGTAGTGAGGTACCCCAAACTAGCAACTTTTGGTTCCTTGAATCAATCATTTATAAAGGGAAAATTAAAGAGGATGTTGTTCATAGAATTAGAGCAGGGTGGTTGAAGTAGAGAGGTGCATTTGTTGTGCTGTCTGACTGGCATGTACCAATGAGACTAAAATAAGAAGTTATGTGAGACAGTTACAAGACCAGCATTGCTATAAAGGACAGAATGTTGGGCAAGCAAGAAACAACATGCTCAAAAATGAGTGTGGCTGAGATGATTTTGAGATGGACGAGTGATGACACTAGAAAGGATAGAATAAGAAGCAAATGCATTAGAAAGGACTTGGAAATGGCTCCAATTAACGACTAGATGAGAGAAAGTCAACTGAGTTGATTTTGTTATGTGCATACTGCATACATGGCCAATGGTGCAAGTGGAAGACCAAAGAAAACATGGTTTTAAGTAGTAAAAAAAATGATTCAAGAACTTAAACTTTGGCAGAAAACATGGCCCTTATTAAAGCATAAGGGTGGAGCAGGATTTGTCTAGCACTCTAGCTCACGCTAATAATTGGGATTAATGCTGAGTTGAGTTGAGTATGGAAGGGCCCCCTGCTATTTGCATAGCAACATAACATACCTTATCCATGCAATTTCTATCCATAGTTCTTCTGTGATGTTTGGAAATTAATTTATTGTTAAAACAATTCTTCACAACCAACTTACATGTTCTCTCCTGGAAGAGGCTTCTGTGTCTTGTAAAAGCTTGGTTTTGTGTTTGGGTTTTAGAGTTCAAGTTTGTTTATGCAAAATACATTACAACCAAATTTAGGAAAATGTTTTATGGATGAAATGTTCTGTAAGAAATGATACATTTCTAAATATACTTTATCACCAAATTCTCCCTCTTCTGCCTTTGTTTAAGGTATGGTCATTCAGATCAGTCTTAACCCAAACCCAACTCATTTACTCAATCTTTATTTGTTTGAGGGTGGCAGCTTAGGACTTCAATCAGATTGGTTTTGGGTGGGGAACCTAGCAATGCAACCGAACCATTGCTGGCTTTACATTTATCAAACTGTATTTCATATGCATTTTTTGTAAGGATGCCAATAACTTAATTTTATGGTTTTGGGTTCTATTGTTTTCCATAGTCACGAAAAAGTTTTAGACTTGGGAATTACCATCCTCAACACTATGTACCTTTAGCTTATATGATATTTTAAGTTATAACAAGCCTTGCACAACCAACAGTTACCTAATCTGACCCTATCCTTGAAACTTGGGTTTAAGAATGAGCTCATTGGGTTGGGCCTCAACACCAATGCAACCCAGGTTCTATTGAATTGAACTTGGCCCTATAACAATCTACTACTGGTATCCTTCCTGAATTTTACTTTACATTGGAATGAGAGGTTTGTGTAACTGTTCCTTGGCCAATCTTTCTGCAGGTTCTTTTGCTAGGCAGACTGCACCACCGTAATCTTGTGAATTTGGTTGGTTACTGTGTAGATAAAGGTCAGCACATGTTGATATATGAATATACGAGTAATGGAAGTTTGGAAAACCTTCTATATTGTAAGTATATGTCCCTTTTCCTTTTCTCTGTCCTGGGACACATTTCTCTTTCAGTGCAACTTTGATGTTGTATGATAGTATTCTTTTACATATTGTATTAGATAATGAAGGAAGGGATCTATTTAAATTGAAGCATTGCATTAAATATTCCCCTTGCATCTTGGATGCACAGACAAACTTTTGCCAGTATTTGAAGGTTATGTTTGAAATAGAACGTAAACAATTCACTAGAGTTTCATGTTGCCTGAATGGTTCTATAATGAATAGTCCAGTGAAAATGTCTGAGACTTCTTGTTTCTGGGTGTTTATAGAATGATTGATTCTAAGAGGACTCTTGTTTAAGGGATTCTACTTTTATTGCTTCTTATTTGAGAAAAGATTCTACTTTTATTGCTTGGGTATTTAAGCCTGGAATGTTGGCCTTATGCTGAAATTGAGTTACTGATGAGTGATGAGCAGTAAACATTTTTTTTTTTTTTTAATGAGCAGTGGGCATTTTTATGCTTCAAACTTACCCACAAAAATAAGGGAAGTGGAATCACAATATGTTGAAGCTCAGCATAACACTTGATTCTCCTTTGCCCACAATTGCTCCATATGGTCATCAATCTGGAAATTCAATTCATAAATAATCTATTTGATGGGTCATCAAGCAGAATTCACATAGAGTATATTTGGACTCTATTGTTTGGACTACAAAATAAAGTATTGCTTGGCACAATAATGTACTTCATGCTACATCTTATACAAGACATGGTACGCCTATTTACTGTTTAAGTTGCTGATTATAAGAAGATGACATGGTGTTTCAGTTCATTAGAAAGAATTGAGATCCTAGAGAAAATGCAACATTTACTTTAGATTAGTAAAATGCTGTTGCAGTTCTCTGTTATAGTACTCTATTGTGCATGCATGTAGGTGAAGGAGAAAGGGTTTTGAGCTGGGAAGAAAGGCTTCAAATTGCTCTAGATGTTTCTCATGGCATTGAATATCTTCACGAAGGGGTATGTTTGATGTTGTTACGTTTTTTTTGGTGAAATGCATTGAATTATTTGCACAAGAAAGCCAGCCTGGCGAGATTAATAAATGGGATTCTTTGAACAGGCAGTCCCATCTGTCCTGCACCGGGACCTGAAATCCGCTAATATATTGTTGGACCAATCAATGAGAGCTAAGGTATGGAGGTTGCTGCATAAACATGCTTTTTCCCATTTTCTTACTGAATACAACTTACAAATGCAAGGTTTCAGAATAAACTCCCCTGTGTAGATAAGACATTTGTGCTTTTCCTAAGAGAGTGCAGTGTTCCATCTGAGTGATACACAATAAACTTTTTTTCCAATAAAGTTCTCCAAAATAAGTTGATAGTCTAACAGTCTATTTGTAACCACCATTTTCTAAAGTTCAATCAATTCCTTTACTGCATACTCTAGATTAGAGTTTATTGACATCATTGTGAAATAAAAAGTTGACAGGTCTTATTGAGATTGTATTCCTTGTCCAAATCAGGAAATCATTTTTGCACATAGGGATTTGAAATAGCTTCTAGTACCACCTGATATGGTGGAACTTGAATGCCTGTTTTGAAGCTAGACACTAGTAGGAATTTCCTTAATACTTTTGAAGCCTAAGTTCCTGAAGGAAACTAAAGGGTTAAAATAAAAGACAATGACAACAGAGAAGAGGAAGATCCTCACTACAGGTCGTTTATCTTATCCTTACAATGTCAATATTCTTAGCTGGAGAAACAAACAATTTGGTCCATGCCTACTCATACACAGGCCTCATCAATGTTCAGAGAACAAAACCAGGCATAGAACCAGAAAAGGGAGGGGTTCATGGATCAGAGGTTTAATTGTGGTTAAACCAGAGGTTGAACTGTGATGATGTGGTATATACATAAATATTTTGCAGGTCATATAAATACTACATATAATATATTTTACAGAAACTATTATACTTACATGTGGTGGACAAATGGCTAGTTTTTTATTTTTTTTAGATAAACAACCAGGGTTCAAGTCTCTTAACTTACATTTTACATGTATATTAAAGCAATATATACATTAAAGAGGCACAAATAAATGCAAATAAAGATATGGCTTAATGGTAACAAGGCAATACACATACGAGATCTTGGATTCAGGTCTTGTCATCACCATTTTTAAGTTTCTATTTCATGTTGCGACCCTGGCGGTTTCATAAACTGGGACCGGTTCACCAGGCCAATCAGCCGGTTTTGGCTGGTTTTTCATGAATCATGATTTTTAGTGTATGACCAAACTGGCCAGGGGCCCAGTCACAGTTCAACTGGTCCAACTGGCTGGTCCAATCCGGTTTTCTAAACAATGGGCCTCATCATAGCATTGGTTCATGATTGACATATGCACAAGTTTTTTCATACGTAACATACCAAATACAGAAGAAATGCTCAGCCATTTAACATACTTTATACGGTGAAAAATATCATACAGTATTTTGCATTAAGTTTCTTTCATTTTCCTTACTTCTGTTATTTGTGTGATCTTAATGTCATTGGTGTTTTTACAACTTTCAACCATCCAATTAGGTTGCCGACTTTGGTCTGTCCAAGGAAGAGGTCTTTGATGGCAGGAAGTCAGGCTTAAAGGGTACCTACGGTTACATAGATCCAGAGTACATGTCCACAAACAGGTTCACAAAGAAGAGTGATGTCTACAGCTTTGGAATTATAATATTTGAACTTATTACAGCCATCCACCCTCAGCAAAACCTAATGGAGTATGTTAATCTTGTAAGTTTCTCATCCTCCTCTAATCTATATTGTAGAAAATTTCATCACTGATCTCTCTCTCTCTCTCTCTCTCTCTCTCTCTCTAGGCGGCAATGAACTCAGATGGTGTGGATGAAATACTTGATAAGCAACTTGTTGGGAGGTGCAACCTTAAGGAAGTGAGGCTCCTTGCCAGCATTGCTTATAGGTGCCTCCACAAAAGCCCAAGAAAGCGACCATCAATTGGAGATGTTTCACAAGCTATATCAAAGATAAGAAAGCGGCACCTCACCAAGGAAGAGACGATGACCATGTCTTTTACTGGAGATCTTTCAAAAGTTGTAAAGCAGATAGAGCATCAACAAGTGGAGTTGAGTAATATAATCAGCACCAGAGAGAGTGTATAGGACTAGTCTGAAGTGGAAAATTTTCCCAAAAAAAAAAAAAACTTTTCTTGGCACAAAATTCCTGATGATGGGAGAAGTTCAAAACATAATGGTGAAAGCTTTTGAAGGAGCTGATTGGCCCTCAGTGAGGTCCTAATGACATGCTTTCTGGCGTTTCACAGAAGAGACGACAAACTTTATTTTGTATAGTCCATGTTCCCCCAGAGAGTTGTTGGATCAACTCATACGGAGGTTTAAGACCATGTACAGGTAGTCTTCTTGATCATTTTACTCAACCAAGTGTATTACTGATACGGAAGCAAAAGTGCATCCATCTGTACTTGTTGATATCCTCATAATCTTTCAAAGGAAAATATCTTTGGTTGGTGTCTTCTACTAATCTTCATTTGGATAATAATTCAGTGACATGGCAACTGGATTGTTGCTACAGAGGTGGAATAGACCTCCTTTTATGAACCCCATACGTGGCTATCGACATGACCATCCCAAACCTTTAGTTTCAAATAAGAGATTGTGCAGTTTTATTGAAGCAATGGTGGAAAATAATAGGAGTAATAGGTTGGTCATGAAAAGCCACCTGCTGATGCTACTTGGTCTAATGCAACTAGAGAAGTCAATTGAAGGAGATAGTCCAAAGCTATGGAGAAAACCTCCTATTTGTTTTATTTTCCTTCTTTTTTTGCAAGGTAGCAATGCACTTAAGAAATAACAATTTCATCAAGAACGGTGGCTTCAATTGACAAAATATTCCTGTTGATCCTTCTAGCTCTATTGGCCATACTATGAGCTTTCATGATCTTTTTCCTGCTTATATATATAAAAAAATGTTTTAACACTTTACATGGTAAACAACAAAAAAGCTGCTTGATACAAGGTTCAAAGTATCAATATGTATCAGCCGATATGTATCATATTGATGGTTTATCGATATGCCCCTCCAGGAGTTGTATCGGGTCAGTCATAAACCAATCCCTCTGAACTGGTTTAAAAAAAAATAAAACTAAAAAAAATGTACCGACACAGACACCCCTGCATCGATATTTAGAACCATGTTTTGATACTTTGATATAGTGGTACGTACCCTTGTGATTTTTTCTATCTTGGATTCGGCATCTGCAAAAATCACCATTTTCTTGATGCCATTTTGAATTACTGCCCATAATTTTATAGTTCAGCTTTATTTGGTCTACGTGCTTTTACACTGATTTCTGGCTGTAATGGTTTGGTGAGTACATTGCTATACTAGTGTCTGTCGTGTGGGTGTCACGAAAAAGGAAACATCAGTGTACACATGAACAGTCTTTTGGTACTGAATTGCTTCCTTGATTGGAATTATTTGTTGACTGGACTTTTGATTGTTCTCAGGTGATATTTGATTCATTGTTGTAGCTGTATGAGAGTTCCCTTTGTCTTTCTGAAAATTTTGTTATTTCTTTCATCCCATATTTTCTTTAATTTTCTGATTAAAAGGTAAAATTGGAATATAAAAGTAAATCATGTTTCGTGTATATATAGAGCACAATTGAATAATTTGGTCCATCAACTGTGAAGGGAAAAAAATTCACTGTGTAGTCCCTCTGTTATTATTCTGTTTTATTAAAAAAAACGAAAAAGTACAGGTAGGCCTGATGCAGATTTTTGATTTATACTGCAGAGTTATAAATATTCAAAAGGTCAATAATCCACATTCTAATGCCGTCTGTGAATTAGCATAAATTCTGATTTGACACCTACCCTGACAGTATTTTAAGCTTATAAATTCTGACCCTGGGCTCAACTGTCATGTCCCCCCTTAGTGATGGTCAAGCAGCTTTGTCAGACATAGTTGAATGCAAGGAACGTCATTACAGCTTTCTGAATTTCCTGAATTTTTTTTGACTGGTTGGGCTTATCCACCCAGAAACCTCGCTCTTCCCACTCCACTCCAGTCCGGCAGTCCCCCCCACTAAGCACGGATATACAGACGCACAAACAATACTCACAGTTATAGATCTCACCTCTTTAACTTCTTCTTCTTAATGTTTAAATACCTTGATCAAACTGTTTATTCAATTGATGATCTTGAGTTTCGATGAAACCCATTTCAAAGTCATTTGGGTTTCTTTCTCTACCAAATCTTCAAACTGTTTATTCAATTGATGATCTTGAGTTTCGATGAAACCCATTTCAAAGTCATTTGGGTTTCTTTCTCTACCAAATCTGCATGGCATCATCCATCATCATTAGACCTGGCAAAAAGCTGACCCAACCTGCGAATCCGACTCAACCCAACCTGAAAAAACAGGGTTAGGGTCTCGTATTTAGTTACCCGAATGCGAAAATGACCCGATTTGATCCAACCAAAAAAAAAAAAGAAAAAAACTGAGTTGGGTTGGGTTGGGTCATGGGTCAATCTGCTGACCCGATTGTCAAATCTAATTGGGATTATTTATGCATTGTTAGAAGTTTTCACTCTTTAATTTTTTCTATTTAGTCTTTACTTTTTATTATTTACTCTTAAATTGTTAAATGTTTAAGTTTTATATTTTATATTTAGAATTTTAAGATTAATTCTTTTAATTTAGGCATTTTTCATATAATTTTTCTTCAATTTTTTTAAATTTAAATTATTTTTACCTAATCCGAAATCAACCTGAAGTATCTGGACCACCTACTGCTGTTACAGATTGGAATGCCACGTCAGTTCAGCGAGTGAGAGAGATAAGATAATTCCAAAAGTAAAACACATCGACAAGGACGGCTGATCTTCGTGACTTTAAATTCAATCCAGCTAGCTGACTGTATTACGCATCACTTACACGGCATACAATGAAGGCATCAAATTCTAAACGTTGGGCTCACTTGATTTTCACCGTTAAAGAATTCATATTTCCCATTCCCAAATAATGTATTTCCAATTGGAATTCTGTGCTTAAGATGGAACGTTAGGTGATCGGTATATATACATCTCAGCGTGTATTGGGAATACCTCTCATTGGAAAATGTTTTTAATACCGTTGCAATATTCTGTGAAATATGGAAAATTACGGACAGATTCAATGTAGATTTTTAATTTTCACTGTAGAGTTATAAACATTCAAAAGTTCAAAAACCCCCATCCTATACATCAATGTCCGCCCATAAATTGGCATCAATCTGTTATGGATACACCGACCGGCAGCACACTGCGGCGCAATCATAGGTAGCGGCATGCACAGCAGGCCGCACAGCAGCACGCACCGCCCGACAGTGCCGTACAGTAGCACGCACCGCTCGACAGTGCACATGCACCGCCCAGCAGCGCGCGGCACGCACCGCCCAGCAGCGCACAGCATGCACTGCCAGGCAGCGCGTAGCACGCACCACACGGCAGCAGCATGCGCCCAACGGCAGCAGCACTGTGAGGTGCACACCGCCCGGCAACAGCAGTAGGGCGGGGCCCACATGACAGCTCATCAGAGTGGGTCCGCACTTATCTTGCCACATCAGCTCTGCTCGCCAACTCGCCGCCAGCTACCCCATTCCTCATCCCTTATCTTATCTTATCTTATCTTATCTTATCTTAAGAGTTGTGTTATCATTAGGAGTAGGTAATTAGGAATTTGAGTTAAGTTGGATTACCTAGCCTAGCCGAATCCAACAAGGAGTTCCTTTATGTAACCTCATATTTAAGGATCTATGAATTGAAGAAAAGGCATTCAGTTTTCAACCAAAAAAAGGTGTTAGGAGAGTTCGGGTGATCTCTTGGACAAATCACCCACGCGATTGCCACAATAGGGTCTGTACGCAAGGAGCCCAAGGGGCTTCCCCCTCCCAAAGCTTGCGACCACCAAATCCCTCTGATAACTGGATCAGATCCCGTTGTTGTCAAGCCCTACCGCTACCCACATCGGCAGAAAGATGAAATAGAAAGGTAGTGTGCAGACATGTTGCAGCAAGGGATCATCCGCCCCAGCTGCTCCCCCTTCTCCTCCCCAGTTCTCCTGGTGCCCAAACAAGACGGGACTTGGAGATTCTGTGTGGATTATAGAGAACTTAATTTGGACGGTCAAAGACAAGTTTCCCATCCCAGTCGTAGATGAGTTGTTAGACGAACTCCATGGAGCGCAGTACTTTTCCAACCTAGACCTTCGATCAGGATACTTCCAGGTCCGCATGACCCCAAAAGATGTAGAGAAAACAGCCTTCAGAACACACCATGGCCACTTCGAGTTCTAGGTCATGCCCTTCGTTCTTAGCAATGCGCCATCCACTTTCCAGGCCCTGATGAACGAGGTGTTTCACTCCCATCTCCGTAGATTTGTCTTGGTATTTTTCAATGACATCCTAGTCTATAGTAAATCTTGGGTGGAGCACGTGCAACATCTGCGAATTGTTCTTGAGCTCCTGCAACACCATCAGCTCTTCCTCAAATGGTCAAAATGCTCCTTTGGGGAATGCAAGGTCCTTTACTTAGGACATGTGATTAGCGGTCAAGGGGTCACTGTGGATGACTCCAAGATTCGGACCATCAAAGAATGGCCCAGACCGCAATCCATCAAGGCCCTCTGTGGTTTCCTAGGGCTGACCGGCTACTACCGCAAGTTCGTTCCCAATTACGGACTGCTGGCAGCCCCGCTAACAAGTCTGCTCAAGAAAAACACCTTCCTATGAGCTGAAGCAGCCTTTGTAAAATTAAGAGAAGCCCTCTCCTCCACACCGGTTCTACAGTTGCCAAACTTTGATCTTGAATTCACAGTGGAGTGTGACGCCTCCGGCACCGGCATAGGCGCGATGCTACAGCAACAAGGGTACCCCATCGCCTTTTTCAGCCGCAAGCTGGCCGACCGCCACCTAAAGTTGCCCGCCTACGAGCGAGAACTTATTGGTCT